TTTCACCACTGCCACCTTATCAGATTGACACGTGCATAACATTGCACGCCAGTACCGGCTATCCTTTGCCTTCTTATTGCTGACTGTCCCATCAGTCAGGATGACTCAAAGTATACATTTATACATATAAACTCGCATCCTATGACCTTATTCAGCAACCACCTCATCAGGCCAAAGCAAACCCCATCACAGTGAGCAAAACAATCTCAATCCTGTTTATTTTTTGTTTACTGTATATTGTAGCAACCTTTTGGCCAATGACGCAGACTGACTGCCCAGATGACCTGCACACATTCTGTGCAAATGTTGCAAAGTGCCCACAATTTTTCTTCCTTTGAAACGTCATCCTGCAGCCATTCAGCTGTTTTTGCGTTTTCCACCTGGGGGGCAGTTGGTTGTTTACAGCATTGTAAATTATTTTCAACATGAGAAGCATGGAGGTCGAGCACTTATTTCATCAATAGTTCTTTTTTTTTTTTTTATTGCATTCAGACTAGAAAAAATGACAATGATTGTAGAGTGAGAGAGTTAGATAATAAAAAAATAAAAATAAAATAAACATAAGGGACACTTATGTCTTCCTACATACTAAAGGCTTAGGCATTTGAGGTTTATTCATAGTATCTTATTTGTAACTTGGACTGGGAAAAAAGTTATTCTTATTTTGTATTTTAACATTTTTACAGTAATACCATAATTTCTGGACTATTTAGTGCATCTGAATGTAAGCAGCGCCCACTAAATTTAAAAAGAAAAACTATTTTCTACATACTGTATATAAGCAACACTTGTGTATAAGCCGTGAGTGTCCACGTTGCAACATACAATATTTGCACATAATTTATTTTTATTTTTTTAAACTTTTAATAAAATATGTACCGGTAACATGCCCAAATACGTAAAGTACATTATTGTTTTATTTTCTGAACAGCGCATGTAACACGGCTGGTTAAAATAAATAAGTGAATCCAGTAGACTACCAGGAAGTCATTGATCTTTATCTTAATCTTCTTCCTATGCACTAAAACAACTGAAGTCGTCTTCTTCAGTGTCAGAATTGAACAGCCTCATGTAAAAACTTCATCACGTCCTCAGTCTCTTTTGTTGTCGCTCTCAACGTCACTTTCGTCTCAAAGCAAATT